GGAATAAGGCGACGAGAGGGCTAAGAGAAGGATCAATAGACGAATCAAAGAGGAATCAAATCCGCATGTAGGCCAAGGTATGTAAACGCATCTAACTTATTAGTTAAGATAGACGTTTGGGAATTGGCCGTTGGATTAGGGATACAAAGAATATGCAATCGTTAGACTTAGAATGGTTAGCGAACAAATTGCATGACTTGGCCGAGTTAATGATCGATCTAAAGTCTAAGGGACAAAGATGATCAAACCGGTACAAGGTTTGGTTGGAATTAAACCAAGGGTAGAAAGACTTCCGCTGGGTACTAAGAAAGCGATTACAGAAGTAAGCCTCGTAAAGGCAATTCTATGTTAAATCGCGAAAAATATGGAGGTTCGGCCGGGAAGAGGCACGAACGTGTGACCATGGTCGCCGGACGCCGAGACGTCCGGGACGGGGTCTCACAAGTTGGTATCAGAGCATGCTTGATCCTAGGATGGATAAGTGCTCGGGAAAATGTCATGGTTAATGACTACTAAAGGTGTAACTTAAATGAATGAGTCCTCGGGAAACCGAATTATGAACTTGAACAGTAGTGTTGGTGAGCCGGAAGGGAATTGAGGCAAGAACGCGATTACATGCTTGGAAACCAAAAGAGTTTGCCAAGATGAATTGGTTAAGCCAAGATGATTACCCAAGGGGCAAGAACTACACGTGTATCAAGTGGATAATTATTCGGAGAGAAGGGCTGATCATAAAGTTGAAAAAGTTAGGCTAAGTGTTTGGCGGATAAGGAAGTTGAGGTGAATGAGATTGATGTGCTTGAGGAAAGGTTACCCAAAGCATGATCGGGCACCAAGATACGAGCCTTGTAGTCAAATGACTTAATATAACGAGGAAAAAGGTTTTGATCTATTCGGAGAATGACCAAGATCAAGGGAAGTTAGATCTCGTCGGAATTTGACAAAGATCGGGAAAGACTTGATCTATTCGTTGAAAAGATCAAGGGGTATTGACCGAGTCCGGTAAAGGACCAAGGTTGGAAATTATTGACTGAGTCCGGTAAAGGACCAAGGTCGGAAATTATTGACCGAGTTCGGTAAAGGACCAAGGTCGGGAAAAATGACCAAGTCCGGTGTGGACCAAGGTCGGGAAATTATTGACCGAGTCCGGTGTGGACCAAGGTCGGGAAAAGTGACCGAGTCCGGTGTGGACCAAGGTCGGGAAATTATAGACCGAGTCCAGAAAGGACCAAGGTCGGGAATAATGACCGTGTCCGAAAAGGACCAAGGTCGGGAATAGTGACCGTGTCCGCAAAGGACCAAGGTTGGGAAATATTGGCCAAGTCCGGGTTGGACCAAGGTCAGAAATTTGTTCTGGTCGGAATTAGACTTGGACGGGTTACATTTGATCGAGTCCGAGAAATGGACCAAGATCGGAAAAATGGATCGAGTCCGAGAAAGGACAGAAATCGAGAATTTGATCGAGTCCAAGAAAGGACCAAGATCTAGAAATTTGATCGTGTGTCGGAAAAGACCAAGATCGGGGAAACTTGATCAAACTCGGAAATAGACATTTGATCAAGTATGGAATCTAAAGTCTTGGGAAGACTAAAGATGAGCAAATGTTAAGGAGTAACTCTAACACCCGCCGAATTCGAGGACGAATTCATTTTAAGGGGGGTAGACTTGTAACACCCGCGTCCCGGGATCCTAAAGGGGGCCGGTTTGTTTTAGGGAAAACTAGATCATGGTCGAGAAAGACCAATGAATAAGTTAACCCAAGGAAGGAATGAAACGTTTAAGTCATGAAAGGGGTAGATGACTTAGAAGGTTTCGGGATAATCTAGTGATCATGGAGAAATGATCTTAGGAAGATTAGGAATGGCGAAGTCAAGGCCGAGAAACGGACCGAAAGACTTAGCCGGAAAGAACGTGGAAGAACGTTCGAGCTAAACCAGCTAGGTGAGCTGAACAAGCTGGATGAACTAGCTAGCTCAGCTAGGTGAGCTACACCAGCTGAAGGACTAGCTAGCTCAGCTAGGCGAGCTGACCGACAGCTCAACTAAGCTCGGTGAACTGATCGAGTACTGACCCAGCTGGGTGGTCCGGTCAGCTGACACTCGAGCTGGTGGACTGTGGTAGCTCGGGATGAAGAGGTGTAAGGTCGAGCGGTTACCGACGAACGGTTACCGTTGGCCAAAGGGTGGATAAGGCCGAACGGTTACGATCAGAAAGATGCAACCTTTCGGAAGGCTGCAACGAACGGATGTGATGTTTCGGAAACACACCCATTCGCCCCCTATATAAGGAAGGACGCCCAAGGCATTCACAACGACCCACAACAATCCAAAACAAGTCCCAAAATACTCTACGAAGTGTTGGTCGGAAAGGGGGTGCGGCTCGGCGAGTATCTCCGGAATCGGAATGGATTCTCGGAGTCTCGACCGAACTGATGCGCATGCTACCTCCCGATCCAATGGTTCGATGGAATGTATAGGACGGATGGATGGGTCGGATTGGATGGGTCCAACCGATCGTCTTGGAGACAAATCGGATTGGATAGACCGATCGTCGGACGGATCGGATCGGATAGACCGATCGTTCGGACGGATCAGACCGGACAGACCGATCGTCGGACGGATCGGACAGACCGATCGTCAGACAGACGGATCGGATCGGAGAGGAAGACGGATCGGATAGACCGTCGCACAGACGGATCGACCGACCAGGATAGGCGGATCGATCGTCGTGTCAATAGGTTGGTTCGACGTATGACCGGATCGGTGTACGATCGGATAAACGGATCAAGGCGAATGATCAACGATCCAATGGAGGGACGGATAGTTCGACGACTTGATTGATGGTTCGGATCGATAGCTCGATTATGGGGTCGATGGATCGTCCGTTCTATGAATCATATCGTCGAGGGAAAGGCACAAAAAGGAAATGGATCGGCAAATCTAAGATTGTCAATATGGAAGTATTGACGTATCCAAAGATAGTCCGAGAGATGATATCGCGGCCGCCTCCATGTATCAATCGCCATGGCCAATGGTGAAACCGATTAGGAATCGGTAACACCAATGGTGACTCGACGGATAACCAACGGGAAAGTCCACGGTGAGAACCGGTGGACAAAACGGATGTTGGACCCACGAGCAAACCAAAGGCCGACGGACGAATGATTTCATGGGCTAGCCTACGATAATCCGATGGGTGAATCCACGGACCCTTGGGTGTGATAATGATATTGTTCGGATCGCATGGATGGATCGGTAAGCCGAAGGCGTTATGACCACCATGGACCGGACGGGTAAACGGTTAGTAGACCGTGGGCGGTCGTAGTGATAAACGACCGGATCGGAAACATGGATGGTTCGATAAGCCGAGGGCTTGATCGTCCACCGTGAAACCGAAGGGGTGTACGTTTGGAGGACGGATGGACCAATGAGCCAAGAGCTTGATTTCGCCACCGTGAACCAAGGAAAACGTACGATCCCCAATCTCTATCGTAGGGACTTAGACCAGTGGGGTTGGTTGGATGAATGGCTAAGTAACGATAGAGATTGGTCCATCAATACACGATTGGTTAAGAATCGTTGTACGAATGAAATAAGGCGACGAGAGGGCTAAGAGAAGGATCAATAGACGAATCAAAGAGGAATCAAATCCGCATGTAGGCCAAGGTATGTAAACGCATCTAACTTATTAGTTAAGATAGACGTTTGGGAATTGGCCGTTGGATTAGGGATACAAAGAATATGCAATCGTTAGACTTAGAATGGTTAGCGAACAAATTGCATGACTTGGCCGAGTTAATGATCGATCTAAAGTCTAAGGGACAAAGATGATCAAACCGGTACAAGGTTTGGTTGGAATTAAACCAAGGGTAGAAAGACTTCCGCTGGGTACTAAGAAAGCGATTACAGAAGTAAGCCTCGTAAAGGCAATTCTATGTTAAATCGCGAAAAATATGGAGGTTCGGCCGGGAAGAGGCACGAACGTGTGACCATGGTCGCCGGACGCCGAGACGTCCGGGACGGGGTCTCACAGGACCCATCTCCAGGCTCACTCTGAGAGCCAAGAGGCAAAGAAGATGAAAGCACGTTGCTCGGGGAAACGAGCCAT